GGCCAGAACCAGCACCTTGGACAAAAGGGGCTTTAACTGTCATTTAATGTTCGGAGTTCTAGTGTTATTACTTGAGCGAACTGGCCTCTGTAAGTCAGACTGGTGACGTAGATGGACAAGTGGAAGACCTTAAGCAGACTTGTTTTAATAAGCGCATGGTATTATTTATTCATGACGACACGGCCTGTATCACAGCTGCCTCAAAGGGGTTCACACACTTGCTCAGACAAACACATATTTGGAGCAGACTGTACAAAACAACAAGCGAGTGGAAACAGTTATGGGAAAAATAACCAGGATGTGTTTCAATCATTCACACGGCTGGATTGCATGTATGTCTTTGCCACTTTTTATGCTTCGAACTTGTGATAAAGAGTGGACGACCTATAAGGGTGCATCCAAATCCAAAGTTTGAATGCTTTGAAGGCATAACTGGCAATATCCACTTTATACACATTTTATAAAACATGTTTCCAAAGTGCTGCACAGATAAAAGTAACACATTACGAAATACTAGTCTGCCATCTTTAAAGGTATATAGGAGGAATTCCGGGTGGATCATCAAGACTATTGGTCCTCCCAGTTGTTATTCATTCTGGTGATACGTGATCGTCAAAAAAGACCAGAGTTTTGTACAAAAAGTGGAGGGTGATTCTTTCCTAAAATTTGGGAAAGTCCTCCTATATACCTTTAAATAAAAATAATTATCTCTATACATAAATGAACATAAAACAATAAACAAAATAAAATTGTGGACCAAAACTCATGCGGTCCATTCAAAGCTTTAAAAACAACCAATATAATCTTAAAATCAATTCTAAAATGAAATATCTCAAAGCGCACAAGTTTTTAATTACCTTTTAATTTGCACTACACACACCAGGACATGTTCAAGTGTTGTAGTTATTTGCCATTGTAGCACACACTCATAGATCTGCATTTTGACTCCAGCGTCAATAAAAAAAAATTCAAACAAGCGAAGGCGCGTACTCAGCCAAGCGTTGCTGATCTGTTTTGACATTTCCCCGTGAATAACAACAGCTAATGTGATCAATGCTTCTAACTGGCTTCACGCGGGAACAGTTAGTCAATGGACCTGTCAGAGATTAACACCAGTGCATGGTTCATGTAAACGGCAGACCACAGGGGGGCCTCAACATGAAGAGCTGTTCACAAGCGCCTCAACATGAAAACCTGTTCACAAGAGCCTCAACATGAAAACCTGTTCACAAGAGCCTCAACATGAAAACCTGTACACAAGAGCCTCAACATGAAGAGCTGTTCACAAGAGCCTCAACATGAAAACCTGTTCACAAGAGCCTCAACATGAAAACCTGTTCACAAGAGCCTCAACATGAAAACCTGTACACAAGAGCCTCAACATGAAGAGCTGTTTACAAGAGCCTCAACATGAAAACCTGTACACAAGAGCCTCAACATGAAGAGCTGTTTACAAGAGCCTCAACATGAAGAGTTGTTCTGGTGTGCTCTGTGCAGTACTGAGCGGGTGGATCTGCTACAATCACATTTACACATGTATTACACAGTATAGTTAGTGATATGACATGTACTTTTAGACCTGTTTAAGAAAGTGTTAAATTATTTTAAAGTAATGTTATTTTAAGGAGGTAATGATAAATCTTGCAGCAAAAATCTGGAACAGTCTTTCTGAAGATGGGAGATCTAAACATTCTTCTCTGACTATGTTTAAAACCATGTTAAAAACAGGTCTGTTTAGCTGTGTGTACAAGGCGATATGACAAGCTGAAACAAAATGCCCATTAGTATGGTATAACACACAAAAATACACACACAGCAGCAGAAGAGTTAAAAGACGGTAAAAGATGGATAGAGGTAAGAAGAATGTAAAGTGGCTTTGACTAGTCTTGGCCCAAGTAGTAAATACAATCAGGCAAAAGGGAAACCTTATCATGTGTTTTGCTTATACATTTCTCATGGTATATACTATATATCAGCATACCAATGCTTCATAATGGTTTGTTTTTCTAGATGTGGTCCTGTGTGTTCTTCTGTATCAGTGTTTGCTCTTCTGGTAGCATGATGCGGGCTATGTTTGCAGACAGCCAAATATGGCCTTATGGAGTTGTTGACAGAATGGGAAGTCATGGGTACATGGGTACAGTAGATACATCGAAACCGTGTCATAGAAAGAGGGCCACATGTGTCTGAGCTGCTTTAAACCTCTGTCAGACGCACATGTGTTTACATCTGTGTGCATCTGTGGCAGAACTGTGGTCAATAGTGCAGAGGAAACGAGGGGGGCCCCACCAGGAAGTGTTTTAAAGAGATTGGCTGATCCAAGGCCAGTGTTGAGTGCAAGGCATTAGAAAGTCACGCGTTACACTAAGAAAAACTAGACTTTTTCCAGGGAAAAGTAAAGTAACGCGTTAGCTATTTACAATCTAATAATGTAACGCAGTTTCTTTTTCGATCCGCCGCAACGTTACTTTTTATTTACCACGGTCAGCTGTGACCACTCATCTGCTGGAGCTTGTGGATCACACTCACACTCAGTTCTCCTTCCACATAGTATGTGACACATGGTTGGTGAAGCAAGAAGTCGCTAGTGTTGCTCATCACAGAGTGTCGCACTTTACTCGACACTCTGTGGGTAAAGTGCAACACAGCTGCGCCAGTGAGGCTGACTTTTTTCTTTTGATGAGGACGCAACGTCCTTTAGCGCAGACGCTGAGGTACTCGAGTAAATGAGATCAGGCTCAGAGTGAGAGGTCCTGAAGCGATTCCCTCAGAGCTGTGTTCATGACAACCCCATGTTTCATGCTCTGTGGTGTTTTTGATCAGAAAGAAATGTTATGAACTTCTGCTAAAAGTTGAGAATAGAGTAACTAAGTAAAGAAACAGGTTACTTTTTAAAAGAAGTAATGATTAACTAGAAAAGTTACTTTTTAAAAGTTACTTCCCTAACACTGCCCGAGGCTGATCAGTTTTCATGTTTATCAAAACCTGCTCTGTGGATTTTGTCCCTGGGGAGAACAGTGTCCTCTGCATCAGACCCACCTCCAGTGCCACACTTAAGAGGTACAGTTCTGTAAAACCATCACATTTTTAGTGCATGTGAATCATCAACAACATTTCAAATATTTAGCTGATTTTATTGTCATTTCTACATTCTTTGGGAAGCTGCATGGAAGTTGGTTGTGCACAAGGGAGGTCCCATCTCCAGATGTTGATGCCTCTGGTCAGGACCAGAGATGGAGGGTTTGACTTAACAGAGCTGCACCCAGTACACATACAGTAGCTGAGCTGAGATCTTTCAGCGGGGGCTTCGGGCAAAGTGGGGTTAAGTGTGTTGGCCAAGAACACAACGACAGCAGACGTCAGTGGGAGTCGTGACGTAGGTCTTATGGTGGGCTCGAACCCACGACCTTCAGGCTCAAAGGCCAATGCTCTACCAAATTAAAACCAATGTATATGTTTGTACTTTTTAAATATATATTATTTTTTGTGATACACACAATACATATTGTGTTAATGATCATATTTAATCACCCTAGTAACAACAGTAGAATGTGTATTTATTTATACACCTCCTAATCTGCTTGTCCATTGGATCGGACAGCACACTGGTGCCACTCTAAATGGTCTCTTGAGTGGAGAGCAGTGAGAGGTCTGACCCTGCTGCCACTACTGGCCAGAGTAAACAGAATCCATCTCGGAGCTGGCACAGGCTGTCAGACAGACGGGATGTGGGAGAAAACCAATCAGATAACATTCTTAGGCCAGAGTTGGAACTGCGAGGATATGTGAAAAACTCCTGGCAGCTCTCAGCGACCAGTGTAACAAATTAGCAGCAACATCAATCCCGACGCATTTCTCAAACTATGATGAGTATTTTTTTTAAGAAGTCTTGGTTCAGTTGACTTTAACACCACCTTTTATTCTTGAATTTTCCCCATGGGACTAATAAAGTATTTATCTATCTATTCATGTTTTCGTTTTTTAAAGAAGCGCTTTGGTAACTAGAAATATCACATGCCACCATCAGGCATGTGCTAAACTGCCCACTGTGTCCTCTGGCAAGACATTCAACCCACATTGTATAGTATGAGTCTGGTGTATGTGTGAATTATTGGTGGTCAGCGGTTACAGATGGCTCAGATTAGCAGCCTCAGTCTACGTATGGTTTCATAAAAGCTTGTTTTTTACAGATGTAAATAAATAAATAAATTTATATAAAGCTCTATATTGACCTGAGGTCTTTCTTCTGATGTGGAAACATGTCTGGCTTTCAAAGTTTAAGTTTAAGCTTAATTTATTAAGGACAATGTGCACCAGATTTAGCACCATATAGTTTTGAGGCAGATGCACTATGCACACAGGGCTGAGGGTCCAGAGGGTCAGGGCTGAGGGTCCAGAGGGTCAGGGCTGAGGTCAGAGACGTGCAGCTAATGAGCCCATTCATTGGGTTCAGTAACACATGCTGCCTGTTGACATGTGCAATAGTGGCTAATAACACTTTTGATTTATGATGTCAAACTATTGTAATTAGAATATAAAATAACCTTATACACAAGAAAAATATTACTGCAAGAAACACAAATGTTGTCATGTATACCAGTTGTTCCCACTTGTCCTGCAGTACCATCCCACCCCAGACTTTGATCCGGAACAAATTATGTTTAAGAACCTGTTTGTACCCAGCCAAAAAGTCTGATACCTCTGTGGTTGTTTGTTGCATAACCTACTTTTACTTTTCTATGATTATGTGATATGTTTCCAAAATAAACACTTAATAAAAACTACCATGGAGGTTTTCCTCAATTAATTTCAGTGAAAATAATGACTAAAGCTTTACCTGAAGTATGAATTTACTAATATTAATGCAGTACAGGATCTAAAACCTCAACTGAACTCAAATATATCTAAATGAGAAATTACACAACTCAATAACACATAGAAATCTTAATTATGGTCACAGCTGTATTGTAATCGAGTACTCTCTGTGTGTTTGTGTGCAGTCGTCAGGCACCACGGTGTTGGTGGACATCGCGGTGATGGGTGAAGCTCATGGCCTCATCTCAGACCTGCTGGCGGACCCCTCCCTTCCTCCAAACACCTGCACTGCTCTGAAAGCTGTCAGTAACCTCCTCACCACGCAACTCACCTTCCAACCGCTGCACCGGCCGCGCCCTGCACCCCTGCTCAACCCCAGCGATTTCTACACCTGCTCAGACTCCGAGGAGGTTCCAGAGAAGGGGGACAAGACCTCCATCAACAAGGTAGGCATGGGGTACCAGTATCCACCCTTCCACAAAGTCGGCATGTAGTACCAGGATCCATCCATCCATCCATGCATCCACAAAGTAGGCACGTATAGTAGCAGTACCCAGTCATCATAACAGAGGGTATGCATTTTATCACAAGGAGTAGACATGCAGAGGATTTGGCATCAACGCGCAACCTCTGATGAAACACTCGCACAGTTTCCCACACGGACTAGGGTTGCACGATAAATCGATATCAAAACAAAATGATAAAGTTTGTGCGCGTGATAAGCAAAGTCTGCCATTATCTAAGTCCTTGGTTCAATCATTCTAAGTGTACGCTCTACTAATAGTAATTTAAAGTCAATTTGGTGGAATCACAGCTTATAAATGAAGTATTTTTGTCCTAAAAAGAATTGGCGCACCCTAAACTTCTGAAAATCTTGTTTTTGAAACTGATGGGAATCTTTTATTGGCGCTCAATTTTTGGACGAAATTGTGCAGCCCTACAGCCCTAAATGTGCAGACGTTTATCAAGATGTAAATGTACTGTATGTATCTCATATATAATGTACAATACAATAGATAGCCAACCCATTTGCTTTAACTGTGCCATTTCGAATCCTGCGAAGATACGATAGCTGCGAATGACTGAACCACGCCGAGAACTGGACACAAACTCCGTAAGAAGTGTCCAATGAAAGCAGAGATAGATCCACGTTCCGTCCACTTATCCCGGGCCAAATGATTTATACTCCGCAGGCCTATGCACACATGTTAATCTTTTAGGCCATGTTTGGGCTAATGACTGCTTCCTGCTCTCTAAGCTTTTAGCATCCACTGAAGAAGGCCTGTATTTTCCTAAAGCTGAGTGAAGAAAAATAGAGTATGTCTACACTGCTCCGCTCTCTCTTTCATAGCCACAGCTGTGTCAACAAGACAGATGTGCTCAGGCAGAGGCAGTGCGAGCCCAGGATGATGGCTCCGTCTGGGTGAGGGACAGGACTATGGAGTTCTGTCCCTGTATGGATCCAATTAGCCAGACACTTCAGTTCTGGAGACGTCCTCTGTGGATATTAGGGAAGTCTCTCTATGGCCTTTAAGTAAATGACATGTCTGACAGGTGCATTTTCTACATCTTCTTGACTTTGAAAGAGAAGCTTATATAAACCGTCCAAGGAGGGGTCTGTCTGCTGGGGCTATTACGCTTGTCTAAACCGCCAATATGGTAGGAAGTCGATTTTTTTTTTCTTCTGATTTTGCGTTGAGTTTCAAAGCTATTTTGTAAGTGGGTTTTACAGTTTCGATAAGAATCACGGAGCAGTCACGAATGACGGAGAGACTGACCTGTAAAGTGCCAATTCAACTGATTGGTATTGTGCATTGGTTCTGTAGCTGATTCTGGTTATGCTCGGGGTCCAGTTTTACCATTTGAGAATGATGCACAATGGTTTAAGAATTTGTAACTTCTTTAGGGCGGGTGTACTGTACCTATTTTTCCGCAGTACACATGGTACAGGTTAGCTACAGTGAATGTAGCTAACCTGGCTCTAAAACAGTTAGCTATCACTATTTTTCTATTTTGGTCTAATTTTTGCCCAAATCACGTCTTTAGATCAGCTTTTTCAGACAGAAAAGTGAAAAAGGACTCATAAGTTAAGATAAGGCTTGTAGAAAAAAAAAAAGTACCAATAGTGACTCATAGGGAACATTGTCAAAGACTCTTTTTGTCTTTTCAAGTAAATAGTAAAGAAGAGTTAGTTGCTTTAACAATTCTTAAGTAGTCCTGGGTTGCTCTTGTAGTAATGGGCCAACAAGATATTTTCTGTTTTTTAGAATAGAAAAAGGCCACAAATGTATTTTTATAATTCAAATTTTTGATCTACAAGATCACAAATCCAGGTGTAAATTGACTTTGTTGTTTTTAACCAAAAGTCAATCAATCATAATGTATGTGCGTATATTTAGAAGGTCCTGAGTTTGAATCCCGGTCGGAACAGGGCCTTTCTGAGTGGAGTTTGCATGTTCTCCCCGTGTCTGCGTAGGTTTTCCTCCGGGTGCTCCGGTTTCCCCTACCACTAAAAACATGCACAATAGGTATGAATGTAAATGAGAGCGTGAATGGATGGTGTTGATTGTGTGTTCAGCGACTCGCTTCTGTCATCACCGTGTGTGGAATGATTTGAACAATGTCTGAACTCTGAACATTGTAAAGCGCTTTGGGGGACCTTGGTCTGTAAAATGCGCTATATAAATAAACATTACATTATATTACATTACATTACATTTTGTAAAAACATCCAATATCAAAAATTCTATTAAGAAAGTTTAACTCACTACAAAAATGTTGTTGTCGCAAATGGTACTGTTTGTGTATTTGGTCTGGTATCCTCAGCATCCAACTTCCATCCACTTCCTGTGAGAAAGCCAAGAAGTCATGAGCTGACTTCTATCTGACCTGGAGGAACAATAAACACTTTACGAGCCTCATGCTGTCACAACAACTGTCTACATGTATTTACACTCTGCTGTGGTAAAGCAAAAGTCGGTAAAACATCCTGTATATTCTCAGTTGTCCGGACTCTGGAAAGCTGGGACTTCAAGATTAAATGGTATTTTCTGTAGTGGTAGTTCATTACTTGAGGCAATCTCAGCTACTCCTGGGGACACACACACAGAGTTTAAGAAATTGAAATGACCAAACTTGCTCCAACATTTATTGCTGTCTTGATGGGAGGACCTTGTGTGAAAAATTAGCAGCTACAACGATCCTGGCGCATTTCTCAAACTATAATGAGTATCTTTCATGAAATCTTGATTCAATTTGATTTAACGCCACTTTTTTATTCTTTTTATCTATTCATGTTTTCGTATTTTAAAGAAAAAGTCACGGATAAACAAGGAAGGACCCAAAAGAAGAACTGCAAAATAATATTCATAAATCCCACAACAACAACAAAAAACTGAAACCAGAAACAAGATCAGGACAAAACAACAATGGGCCGACATCAAGAGGAGGACAGGAAGTGAAACTCAGACTCAACAAGAGAAAAAAATTGAGAAATGTTATATAAAACCAGGTAAAGCAAAAGTCCACACCATGACAGATGCGGGTTGACAACCAGGCTTAGCACATGCCAGCATCAGGCATTGTGTCCTTGGGCAAGACATTCAACCCACATTGTATAGTATGAGTCTGATGTGTGTGTGAATTATTGGTGGTCAGAGGTTGCAGATGGCTCAGATTAGCAGCCGTGCTCCTGTCCGTCTACCCCAAGGCAGCTGCGGCTTCTGTATCAGTTCACCATCACTACAGAAAATACATGTTGTTTGTCCTAACAGAAAAAGTCAAAATGCTGTCCTTATCTGATTAGAACATCTGTTTTGTTCTGTGTACTGTAATCAAGAGGCCCATGAGTCACTTTTTGAGGCTTTGGCGAATGTTTTAGCAAAGATGGTCCTCTCTTTTACACTTTTCTGTCTGAAAAAGCTGTATTAATGTGACAGGAGCCTAGAAATACATGTTTGCGAAAACCAAAAACATTCTATTATTCTAGTTGAGAAGCCCAGATTTAACCAGTGTGAACTACTATTTTGGTGTAATTGCACAATGTTATCATGTTTAGAGTTCTAAGGAATCAGAGAAAAACACGTACGCATCCAACTTTCTGGCAGATGTAGTGATATCTCTGCATCAGTCTCCGTCTCTGAGCAGCTCAAGCCAAACAACCGTCTCATTGAAGTGATAGATTTGACACATAACTTAGCAAAAAGAATTCATGTCTTTTCACAGGTGGAGAGCTAAGTGCTTTTCTATAAACATTCTGCCTGCGCTGTTGCTTCACTCCAGTTATTCCACGACTTTTTTCAATATGTGATACATGTGTGTTTGTGTGTGTGTGTGCAGCGTTTGCGGAAGAGTCTGCATCCTGGGCTTTTGAGAAGGATCTCTTCCACGTGGACGACCACCACCTCAGCCACCGGCCTGCCCACCATCGAGCCCGGGCCAGTCAGGAGGGACCGCAGCGCCAGCATCAAGCCCTTCCACGAAACGCTCACATGCAGGTACACACTTTACACACTTTAGACCAGGTGTTTCTAACCTTTATCACCCAGAGAGCCACTTTCCCGGGACGATAAAGGCAGAGAGCTACTCCTTTAAGCGGCACTGGGAAAAATGGACTGATATTACTATACTTATTATTATCAGTAGTTTTTCCTTTGTACTGATGTGGCCTCAAATGATGCGTATCTTAAGGCGACTGTACTATACTTATTTGTCATTTATTGTATTATATATATATATATATATATATATATATATATATATATATATATATATTAGTATTATTATTATTATTATTTTATGCATATTTGTTAGTAGTGACAAAGTGCATTTACAATAATAAATGATGATAATGAATATTACAATATGAAATATTAAGTATTTATTTGATTTGTTCATTTCTAAATCCTTTGGTGAGCTACCTGGAAAGGGGGGGCGAGCTACTGGCTGGAGACCCCTGCTTTAGACACTCAAACTCAACTTTTGCCCCTGCATCCATCCCCACCTATGAAAAGCATTTACTATTTAAAGCATAACAGATCAATAACATATATGACCACTCTAATTTACATACAATAATAAGTATAACCTATTAGATTGAGATTACGTTTGACTAACTATGAAAGAAAAAAGAAACACTGTTCATTTTACCATATATGGGCAGACTACACTTTAGAGGTGACGTGACAGAAATCATCATTTCTTTGTGCACCGGTCTGTTGTCCTAATCTTCTTATCATTATATAATTATTAGTGCTGTCCAAAATATCGCGGATAGGAGGGGGGGGGGACATGAAGTGGGAGATGGGGGGGAGGGGTTAATAAAAAAGGCAATACAAGAAAACAGTAGACAGTCATAGATATACCAAAAGTAAACAGAGAAACAGCATAGAGTATTTACATGAACAAATTTACAAAATATTTACAGATTGTTTATCATCATCATAATGACACCATGATGTTTCTATACAGTCTATGGTCTATACCCACACATACACACACACACCCACACCCATAAACACACACACACACGCACACACATACACCCCACAGATAAGATAAGATATAAAGTCTGCCCGCCTGAGTTTCACCAAGCTACAGTAAGCGGAACCCAGCCAACATCAAAACCAAATCCGACACACACACAGACCCCCAAGCAGGCCCCCACCCCAAAAAGGGGGGGAGGGAGCCCACGCCCGGCCCATTCCCTCTCTTATTTTGTTCCTTTTTCCCAAGTGTTTTTCTTAACTAAACGTGTCATGCATTAAAATAAGCTTTCGCTTTCGCTTACCCTGACTTGTGTATTATCATTATATGCACATATGCACATATTATTTATGTTATTATTATATTTATCTACTTATTCATTCATTTTTTATTTTATTTTATTATTATTATTAATTTTATTTTATTATTTTTATTTTATTTTAATTAATTCAAGGGACATAAAGAATAGATACAAATGTGTGACTAATTTGCGATTAATCGCGAGTTAACTATGAAATTCATGCGATTAATCGCGATTAAATATTTTAATCGTTGGACAGCACTAATAATTATACAAGAAAATGTGAACCAAATGTATGATGCAGTAAAAGCCTTGTTTTCCAACAGCACAGACATCCTGTAAAACACATCTAGAAAATGTTTTGAGCCCATGAACCAAAAACCGCACTGTTAGCATGCTAGTGGTTGTTAACAAAATCTTAACACAACATGCAAGTTTTTGGAATGTGTATCTTTTAAAGTTTGTGAAAGATCCAATACAATTTACTGCTATATCAACCAATTTATCTCGAGCAGGGGTGAAAAAATGTGTTTTGGCCGGGGGAAAAATTATATATGAACATAGCTTGCCAGGGCCTAAAAGTAAATTCTGAGTGGAAGCCTATCTTTTGCATCTGTGGATATTTTAATGTATTTTTGTATTTTAGCAAAACTAAACCGGATGTCAGGAAGGCTTGTAGTTGTAGACTGATCTTTTTTTAAATGTATCTATGTTTTCATGTATGTACACTTGTATGTCAATGAGGTATAACTATGGAGCTATTATTGTTTCAATAATATTTGTGTGTGCGTAAAAAGATTTGTGCGTGCGTAACCAGATTTGTGTGTGCGTACCCAGATTTGTGTGTGCGTAACCAGATTTGTGCGTGCGTAACCAGATTTGTGTGTGTGTAAAAGAAATATTTGTGCGTGTGTAAATAGATTTGTATGTACGTATCAAGATTTGTGTGTGCGTAAAAAGATTTGTGTGTGCGTAAAAAGATTTGTGTGTGCGTAGAAAGATTTGTGTGTGTGTAAAGAAAAAAAAAAGTAAGTTTTACACACAAGTTTTTTTTTTACACACGAATCTTTTGACGCAGTCCTGCCTTCGCAGATTCGCAAGTGTAACTTGGACTGTGTGCGTGCGTAAACAGATTTGTGTGTGTGTAATTTGACATTTGTATCTGTAGCAGAACAATCTGTGTGTAAATAACCGCGTTGTACAAAGAGAAGAACGAAAAAAGCCTAAGTGCTACGCACAGGCTCTGTTTTACACACGAATCTCTTTTTGACACACCTCTGCCGCCAAGCGTGTGTCAAAAAGATTTGTAAGTGTAATGTGGTTGTTCTAGCAGTACACCAGCAGATGGTGCTGTTGTAGCTGGTTATTACCTACACGCAAGCAAACCAAAACCTACTGCCTTGACAAGACACACTACCGCAGCTGTTTATGATATTTTTTTCCTATTTTCAAAATCCTGTCATTCACACCACTGTATGATACATGGATGTATTGTAATAACTTGATAGGGTGTTACTAGCTTGGAGCTGAGGGATTCTCACGTACTGCAGACTAAATTCACGTTGGCTACACAGAAATTTTCCCCATAGAACTCAAAGTAAACTAAAACAGCTGACAGATAACCTACAGCTTTCATAAAGGTCGGATTTTGTGGGAATTTTAGTGTTCCTTGTCATCCTGAACTTTTCTTCTTCTTAAATCCTTTGGTTTTCTCTATCTACACTTGTTGGTTTGCTTGCGTGTAGGTAATAACCAGCTACAACAGCACCATCTGCTGGTGTACTGCTAGAACAACCACATTACACTTACAAATCTTTTTGACACACGCTTGGCGGCAGAGGTGTGTCAAAAAGAGATTCGTGTGTAAAACAGAGCCTGTGCGTAGCACTTAGGCTTTTTCCCGTTCTTCTCTTTGTACAACGCGGTTATTTACACACAGATTGTTCTGTTACAGATACAAATGTCAAATTACACACACACAAATCTGTTTACGCACGCACACAGTCCAAGTTACACTTGCGAATCTGCGAAGGCAGGACTGCGTCAAAAGATTCGTGTGTAAAAAAAAAACTTGTGTGTAAAACTTACTTTTTTTTTTCTTTACACACACACAAATCTTTCTACGCACACACAAACCTTTTTACGCACACACAAATCTTGATACGTACATACAAATCTATTTACACACGCACAAATATTTCTTTTACACACACACAAATCTGGTTACGCACGCACAAATCTGGTTACGCACACACAAATCTGGTTACGCACGCACAAATCTGGTTACGCACGCACAAATCTGGTTACGCACGCACAAATCTTTTTACGCACACACAAATATTATTGAAACAATAATAGCTCCATATATAACGTGCCATGTTACCATCATACACTGCAAGTCAATCACTCCAAGAGCCACTAAAACAATTTGACCTCATGCGTAACCCCAAAAATTGAATAAAAAGGTGACTATAAGGGAGGACTGCCTTTTGTCCTCATTATCCAGACAATTATTTTCCTTGACTGTATAAAAGATTTGCTCTACCGCCCTCATGCCTCACTGTGGAGTACTGCACCCTGGCTATTGTCCTGCTGACTGAGGTAATGGGGTTAAGCAGATGCCATAAGGTGAAGTCCTGGGATGATTGCTAAGCGTTCCAACATCCATCTTGAGCTTATGAGAACATACCCAGAAGAGCATCCGAGTTTTCATGAGCGGTAATAGTTGGGAGAAGGCTGTGTGTGTGTGTGTGTGTGTGTGTGTGTGTGTGTGTGTGTGTGTGTGTGTGTGTGTGTGTGTGCGTGTGTGCGTGTGTTATGTGTGTCTCTGTGCACAATGGGAGCCAGAATGGAAATATGGCCCAGAGGTAAAAGCATTAACCTGAATAAGTAAGACACATACTCCCAGAGCATTACTGATGCCTATATTTTCTATGGGAGACACACAGTTTGGTATTTTTAGCTTCATTATGCGCTGGGTCTAAACAGTGAGAATTCTCAGGCTGGTTTTTTGTGCAATTAGTTTGACAATAAATGAATCAAAATAAAGTAGAAGAGTTTAAGCCCCGGAAATGGACAGAGCTGCAGTAAACAGTTTGGTATACAGTGGAAAAAGGAAACAACATGAAAAAATGTGATAGTTTTACTTCCGTAACTAAATTTACGTTTTATTTAGCTTGTAAATAACCCAAAATAATCTACAAAAATTAGAAAGAAAGGCTTGGCTTTTATGGACATTGGTCATCTGCCCCTTATGGACCAATGGCTCTATGTGTTTTACAGTTTTTCTTGTGTTTGAACCATTTGATTCTCTTATCTGTGTTGGCGACTACTTTCAACAACTTTTTAAAGTCCTGCGAGATAACTGTTTTTTTTTTTAGGGCTATATAAAAAATATATTGAATTGAATTGAATGGAATTATTGGTTTTCGTCCCGGCCGCGGAACACTGGACCAGCTCTATACCCTCCATCGGATACTCGAGGGTCCATGGGAGTTCGCCCAACCTGTCCACATGTGCTTTGTGGATTTGGAGAAGGCGTTCGACCGTGTTCCCCGGAGTGTCCTTTGGGGGGTTCTCCGGGAGTACGGGGTCCGGGGTCCTCTGCTGAGGGCTGTTCGGTCCCTGTATGACCGGAGCCAGAGCTGTGTTCGCATTGCCGGCAGTAAGTCAGACCTGTTCTCGGTGCATGTTGGCCTCCGACAGGGCTGC